ATCGAACCACAGGGAACTATTGAGCAAATCTCCTCACCCATCCCCTTTATATCCAGATACACACAATCAGAGTTTTCCACCTGGACTTTATCCCTCATCCTTCGCAACATTTCACTCCTCCCACTACCTCATCCTGCGCTCAGTACTCACACCACTCAGTAGTCTATGGCCTGATACAGAACCCTCAGCGTTAGAATCATACAGGTACTCCCAGCTCACCCATTTTATCACATCCACATATCACATCCACCCATAACATCCTCAAAGGGAACAGACAACCTACAATATTTTAGAACCACTGCACCTCTGGAGGCATTAAAACAAAACACCTCTCAATAATCTATAACATACTGCAGCAGGAAGCATCTCCCCCTTTGCCAAAATACACAAGCTCTTCGGAGTCTGAGCTCAATCTCACACTCACACAAAGGGACTGGAAACGCATATTCATTTATGTACATAGGTCCAGTATCAGCACACACACCCAAGAGGATACCCCCTTAGCCCCCTGTTAAAAGTATAAAACTCACCTTATTTCCAGCGCCGCACGGGTCTACTGGCGCTGGCTCAGCCCCCTTTGTTACATCATCGAAATGGCCGATTTTTAGCCAAGGGAAAGCATTGGATTGGCTAAAATTGGCACGGGGCGGGGACAAATTCAGTTTTGGCCAATCAGGGCCTCCTCATAGAGATGCATTGAATCAATGCATCTCTATGAGGAAAATTCAGCGTCTCCATGGAGAGCGTGGAGACGCTGAATGGCAGGGCTGCTTACTGTGCAGACCTGAGCCAGGAAGCCTCTCCAGTGGCCATCTGAGGAGTGGTCACTTGGAGGTTTTCCTAGGGGCAATGTAAACACTACCGTTTCTCTGAAAAGGCAGTGTTTACATAATAATACCTATTATACTCACCAGAACAACTACATTAAGCTGTAGTTGTTCTGGTGACTATAGTGTCCCTTTAACTATGTAGGCACCATCTTCTGATCTGTGGCATCTAGCTGCATAACCTCATGTGCTTGACCCCTAATGGTAGTCCCCATTCTATACAGAGTTACCCATACAACAATCAGAACTAGTTTGAGCAATACTCAAAGCTAGGTACAATACAGAGATACCCATACATTCAGTGGCGCGCCGCACTGAGGAGACCTGGCAAGCAAAAGCAGGATCGCTGCCAGGTCTCACTCAGAAGGTTGGAGGAGGATCACTGCCAATATGAGAGGGAGCAGGGAACTTGCCCCCCCCCAAGAAAGTGCCACCTGGGGTGCAGGGTGGGGCTCCATTCCTTGAATACTCACAGATCCTCTCCCTCCCTGACAGTCCCCTTCCCTGCACATATCCCCTCTCTCCTCTGCATCCTGATAGTCCTCCTCCTTCCCTGCACATATCCCCTCTCTCCCCTGCATTCTGACAGCCCCCTCCCTCCCTACACAGTACCCCCCTTCCCCTGCACCCTGACTGTCCCTCTCCCTCCCTGCACTGTGCCTCTCCCTCAACTGCACCCTGACAGTCCCCCTCCCTCCCTGCAGTCTCCCTCCCTCCCTTGAACCCTGACAGTTCCCCTCTCTCCCTTCACAGATCACCTCTCTTCCCTGCATCCTGAAAGCTTCCCTCCCTCCCTGCACAGATCCCATCTCTCCCCTGCACCATGACAGCCCCCTCTTTCCCTGCAACCTCCACAGCCCCTTCCCTGCACCCTCCACATCACTTCCTGCCCTTTGCATACTCCCTATCCCTCCCTGCCAAAAAATAAAGTATATTAGGGGGCTTCAATATATATATATATATATATATTAATGTGTAGAAAAAAAATGTGATTCAATAATCCACTTTTCACTCCTAAGTGTTTCCTTTAACACATCTAAAAAGTTAAATATACTGTAACCCTTCAGTAACAATAATTATTTAAAGGAACACTCTACCCAAATGGGCAAACCCTCACATAAACTTACTGTTTAGCAGATATGCCCCCAATGAATTACATGCAGTATTTATTGGGTGTATATCTTAAAGCTTGAAAAGGTCGTAAACAGTGTTGGACTAGAGGCGTTGAGTACTTAAAAGAGGTATGTCCGGTGCTGCCACAGACATCCACGACTGTACCAGATATGACGTGAGTTGAGATAGGGGCGGAAAACTCAAGGGCAGCCCTGGGCAGCAAAAGCTCTAGCTATGCCACTGCATACAATACAAAAAACAAACAGTACAAAAAGAAGATACCAAAACAATACATGGAACCAAACATTATGTAGATACTCAAACAATACACAGAGCTGAGAATAATAATAATACAAAAATACTCATACAATAAACAGAGCTGGACACAACACAAAAATATCTATACAATACACAGAGCTGGGTACAACAGGTAGAGCTCAATAAAATATAGAAATATGCAAGTTGACAATCACAATCCTTTGGCAGTGGAACTGTGCAAACAAAAGTAAAAAAATATATATAAAAATGTATATATGTTCTTGAATGAAACTTCCCTTATGTAGAAATGACAACCCCGAAGGCTTCCTCAATCTTCAAACATAAATATATACAGACAATAGGGGTGAATCTGCTAGGGAGAATGAGAAGAAAGGCACAACATAGTGCTTAACGATGTTGATTTTAAAGGACCACTATAGGCACCCAGACCACTTCAGCTTAATGAAGTGGTCTGCGTGCCAGGTCCATCTAGAATTAACCCTTTCTGCTGTAAACATAGCAGTTCCAGAGAAACTGCTATGTTTACAAATGGGTTAATCCAGCCTCTAGTGGCTGTCTCATTGACAGCCGCTAGAGGCGCTTTCTGCGCTTCTCACTGTGATTTTCACAGTGAGAAGACGCCAGCGTCTATATGAAAGCATTGAGAATGCTTTCATATGGACTGGCTGAATGCATGCACGGCTCGTGCCGCGCAAGCGCTTTCAGCCGTTGACGTGGAAAGAAGGAGGAGAGTCCCCACCGCCGAAGGAGGTAAGATTTAACCCCTTCCACCCCGAGTATGTTTTCCTGGCACTATAGTGGTCCTTTAAAAGTGGTGCTAGATACCACTCATACTTTAAATGTCAAGTTCAAGCCTTCATAATATGTTTGGTGATATCAATAGGTTTTCTCCTGTTGCTATGTAGCCTCAGTAGCATTGGACCATAGATGTTTGGAAAAAGAAATTGCAAAAATATAGTGCAAATACTAATAAATTGTAAAGTGGCCAGCCAGCCAGCTCTTAAGCCCCCTAGGACATCAGGCAAACAAGGGATCTGCCTGGGCGTTTGGGGGTGGCTTTTTTGCCTCCCCCTGCAAAGTGCCGCCCAAGGCAGATGCCTTGTTTGCCTAATGTAAGACACGTCCCTGCTTAAAAACAGCATGTGTGGTAGTAAAAATACCAGTCTACCAGTCTACCAGTCCCATGCGTTTTGTCCTAACAAGGGACCTCCTCAAGGACAAGGAGCTGTGCAAACCAACAATACAATAAAGTGCAATAAAATCCCTCCCTCCCTCTTTTTAAATCCCCTTGATTGGTATTAATGTCCATGTCCAATTTTGTCTTTAATGATGTCACTGCGCTCGGTACGCGGTGATGCCTAACGTCATGCGTTCCATTTTGGAGCCATTCTATTCCTGACACTAAGCAGGAACACACCCCAGAACATGGCGCCCGAAAGGAACGCATCTTTGACAGCCATTGGAGCCAGGAGGTGCTTCCTGGGCAGTGATGCACAGTGTGAACGCTGAACACTGCAATGAATCAATGCATCTCTATGAGGAAATGCTGAGGGTGGCATTTGGTCCCATCCCTGACTTCTTGGCTGGGGGTGAGGTGGGGCCTCAGCTAATCTGATGCTTTCCTATTATTATTATTTTTAAAAGGGCCAACAAGTTTTGCAGCGATGTACAATGTATGGTAAAGAATTATGATTGGCTGAAATCATCAATTCTGATGATGTCAGTCAAAGAGGCAAATCAAGGGTGGGCCAACAACGTCAGACTCGCTCGGTGCTGGAAAAAATGAGTTTTTTTTTAACTTATTTAAGGAGGACAAGGGGGGCAGGGATCCTACATGTGTTTGAATAATTGTATTAATTTTTGTATTATTGTGGATGGAAAAGCTCTCTCTCCCTTACCTTTTTCTTATTCTGCATCCCTTCCCTCTGTTATTGGTTAAAAATGTGTTTGAAAAAAAAAGTGACATCCTGCTCAGATTGTATTACCTCAACATGTTTTGTGTCATAGAAAATAAATATATGTGACTGAATGCCATTAAGATCATTAATTAAAGAAAAGTGTACATACAAAATAACCTAAAATGTTACCACTGTTCCTCATCTACAAAATGAAAAATGTTCCCTAACATCTACCTTTTGCACTTTTTAAGATAGTTTTCAAACCATGAACAAGTATCTTAGCACAAAAATATTTCTCGTTCAGGAACATATAATAATAATGACACTTTGCACTGATTGCATAATTTTCATTTTGAACATACTACAGAATCATACAATCTATACTCTTTCTTAAAACACTTTTATTCCAGAAAATAATGTTCTTTTTATATGTATCTATGGTATATTTATAAAAATTCAAAAAGACACTTCTGCATTGCAGCTACAGCACAATAACTAATACTATCGGACAGTCTCCGGGGCTTCACCAATTAACTAGCTCTGTCTTCATGCTCTGCACTTCTGAGTTCAGCTTCATAGGTTCTGTGTTGATCTCATGATCTGTTCTGCCCCTGGTCTGGAAACAGATTTAATTCATAATAGAAATAGCAAAGATTTTGCTAGAAACAGACCATTTCTCTAATTCCCACAAGGCAGAAAGCATTTTTATTTCTTGCATTGATGAAAACTCTTTGTCCAGCCATACCATTGATGTTAACATTTATTTTCATTGAACACAAAGGCAGTTTTTGCTCGATGGCATTTGCTTGGCAGCTTTATATATCAAACACAGTCCACAGAAATTATTTTGATAAACTGTGTTAGCTGTTTGTATTGTTGTTGTTTAGTCATTCAGTCGTGTCTGACTCTCCGTGACCATATGGACCATAGCACGCCAGGTACATCTGTCAGTCACCGCCCCTCTGAGCTCCAACAACATCATGTTCATGGCTTCAGTGACCTCATCTATCCATCTCCGTCTCTGTCGTCCCCTTCTTCGTGTGCCTTCCATCTTTCCCAGCATCAAAGTCTTCTTTAGAGAACCCTGCCTTCTCATTATATGGCCAAAATATTTGAGCTTCAACCTCATGATCATAGCTTCCAGTGAACAGTTTGTCTTGATTTCCTGCTGTACGGATTTATTGGATCTTCTTGCAATCCAAGGGATTCTAAGCAGTTCTCGCCAACACCAAAGTTCAAAGGCATCAATTCTACGACGCTCAGCATTCTTTATAGTCCAGCTCTCACATCCGTATGTTACTACTGGGAATACCATAGTTCTGACTATGCTGACCTTTGTTGATAGTGTAATATCTTTAGTTTTTACGAGCTTTTCCAAGCTTGCCATAGCTTTCCTCCCCAGAAGCAAACGTCTTTGAATTTCATGACTACAGTCACCATCTGAAGAGATCTTAGATCCCAGAAAAATAAAATCTGTCACTGCCTCCACTTCTTCCCCATCTATTTGCCAGGAACTAAGATTGCTGTTTGCCATTATCTTAGTCTTTTTAACGTTAAGCAGCAAGTCAACTTTTGCATTCTCTTCTTTTACCCTCATCAACAGGTCCTTTAGTTATTCCTCACTTTCAGCCATTAGAGTAGTATCATCTGCGTATCTGAGGTTGTTGATATTTCTTCCAGCAATATTGATTCCAGCTCTGGATTGAGTCAATATTGATTCCAGCCCAGCCTTACATATTATGTATTCCGCATATAAGTTGAATAAATAAGTTGACAACATACAACCTTGTCGCACTCCTTTCCCGATCTTGAACCATTCTGTTGTCCCATTTTCAGTTCTGACTGTGGCTTCTTGGTCCACATACAGATTCCTCAGGAGGCGGATGAGACAATCTGGTACTCCCCATCTCTTTAAGAACTTGCCACATGTTGTTGTGATCCACACAGTCAAAGGCTTTAGAATAGTCTATGAAGCAGAAATATGTGTTTTTCTGGAACTCTCTGGCTTTCTCTGTTATCCATTGTACATTGGCAATTTGATCTCTTGTGCCTTGTCCTCTGCGGAATCCGGCTTGTACATCTAGTAATTCCTAGTCCATATATTGTAGTAGTGGAGCTTGTTGGATCTTAAGAATTACCTTACTGGCATGTGAAATTAGTGCAATTGTTCGATAATTGGAGCACTCTTTGGCATTGCCTTTTTGGGATTGGGATGTAGACTGACCTTTTCCAGTCTTTTGGCCACTGTTGAGTTTTCCAAATTTGTTGGCATAAGGCAAGCAGAATTTTCACAGCATCATCTTGCAGAATTTTGAATAGTTCAATTAGGATTTCATCAACTCCTGCAGTCTTATCTGCAAGGCATCCTAGGGCGCATCTTACTACGCACTCCAGGATTTCTGGTTCCATCTCATTGGACCAACTATTGAGGTCATCACTGCTGTTAAGATCCTTCCTGTATAAATCTTCAGTGTATTCCTGCAATCTCTTCTTTATCTGATCTTCTTCTGTTAAGTCCCTGTCATTTTTGTCTTTTATCACACCCACTTTGGCTTGAAAGGTAACTTTTAGATCCCCAATTTTTTTGAATAGATCTCTTGACTTTCCCATTCTGTTATCTTCTTATATCTCTTTACATTGCTCATTGTAGAATGTCTCTTCTTGATATCATTTGGAATTCTGCATTCAGTTTGACACATTTTTTCCAATCCCCACCACCTTTCGATTTTCTTCTATCCTGGGCTATTTTTAAAGCTTCATCATATAGCCAGTTTGCCTTCTTAGATTTCTGTCTTTTGGGTATATTTTTCTTGCGGTTTCCTGGATAATTTTGCAGACTTTGGTCCAAAATTCTTCAGGCATTCTAACATCCACGTTTAGTCCCTCAAATCTATTCTTTACTTCCACTGCATATTCACAAGGGATATTAATTATGTCGTATCTGATTGGTCTGATGGTTTTCCCTCTTTTCTTCAGTTTAATTCTGAACTTTGCAAGAGAAGCTCATGGTCCGAGCCACAGTCAGCTCCAGGTCTTGTTTTTGCTGACTGTATAGAGCTCCTGCATCTTTGGCTGCAAATTATATAGTCAATCTGATTTCTATATTGTCCATCTGGTGATGTTAATGTGTAGAGTCATCTTGGAGCCTGTTGGAAGAGGGTGTTTGCTATGACCAGAAAATTGTACTAATCTCTGACCTGCTTTAGCATTCCAGTCTCCTACAAGGATAGTAACATCTTTTATTGGTGTTATATCTATAATGTGTTTAATTTCTTCATAGAAGTGAACAATTTCAGCCTCTTCAGCATCCATGGTTGGAGCATAAACTTGGATCACTGTGATGGTGAATGGCTTGCCTTCAATTCGAATTGAAATCATTCTGTCATTTATTGGGTTGTAGTCGAGCACTGCTTTGCCCACCCGATGATTTACTATGATGGCTACTCCATATCTTCTGCGGGATTCTTGTCCACAGTAGAAGATGTGATAGTTGTCTGATGTGAAATGTCCCATTCCAGTCCATTTGTGTTCACTAATTCCCAGGACATCGATGTTTAACATTGTCATCTCATGTTTGATCACATCCAATTTGCCTTGGTTCATAGTTCTAACATTCCAAGTTCCTATGTTAAATTGGTCTTTGCAGCAGCTGACTTTCCTTTCCCCTCCAAACACATCCACAGTTGGGTGTCCTCTCGGCTTTGGCCCAACTACTTCATTAGATCTGGTGCTAATTGTACTCACCCTCCGCTCTTCCTCAGTAATGTGGTAGGCACCTTCTGACCTGAGGGGCTCATCTTCCAGTGCCATATCGTTATGTCTCTGGTTGTGCTTGTCCATATAGTTATCTTAGCAACGTTACTGGAATGAGTTGCCAGTTCTTTTTCCAGTGGACCGCAATTTGTCTGATTTCTCTGCTATGACCTGCCCATCATGGGTGCCCCTACATGGTATAGCTCATAGCTTCATTGAAGTACAGAATCCCCTTCACCACCGTAGTTTGTATTACAATAGACATATTCCCTAGATTCAACTTCTTGATGATGTGAGTACTGATAAGGTAGAATTAGGGGTAGCATTATGGGTAGGATTAGGAATTGATTTATGGAGAGGATTATGGTTAGTCTTGTAGGTAGGGTTTGAAATTGGATTATAGGTAGGATTTTTGGTTGGATTATGGTGCCAGAAGGCCCCCTACTGCTCTCTTACCTTAAGGAGTTAAACTGTTCATAAAAAAACTATATATTTTTTATGAATGGGGAGCTACTGATTTTCTTAAAGCTTATGCCGGATGCTGCTGGAGGACTTGGAGAACTGGCAATGGAGGCAGCTTTTTAAGGTTAAACTGTTCAGGAATTGTTTAACACCTTAAAGGGACACTCCAGGCACCCAGACCACTTCTGCCCATTGGAGTGGTCTGGGTGCCACCTCCCACTACCCTTAACCCTGCAACTGTAATATTGCAGTTTTCATAAACTGCAATAGTTACATTGCAGGGTTAACTCCTCCTTTAGTGGCTGTCTACTAGACAGCCACTAGAGGGCACTTCCTGGTTTATAGCACAGATCTTCTGTGCTATAGCATCGCTGGATGTCCTCACGCTATATGAGGACCTCCAGCATCGCTGAAATCCCCATAGGAAAGAATTGAAAGCATCTTTCAATGCTTTCCTATGGGGAGGTCTAATGCCCATTCGCGGCATTGCCGCGAATGCGCAATAGGTCTTCCCCGTCGGATGACGTTGGCGGGGGAGGAGCGTGGGTGGACCCTGAACCAGCACCGAGGGACATCGGCTCTGGATAAAGGTAAGTCACTGAAGGGGTTTTAACCCCTTTAGCAACCTGGGATGGGGGTGGGAGGGAGAGGGGACCTGCAGTGCCAGGAAAACTGATTGTTTTCCTGGCACTGCAGTGTCCCTTTAACGTAAGAGTGCCAAGGGGCCTCCTGGCACCATAGCAACTTAATTTTGATGCTGCTGTTAGGAAGACTGGAGTGATCCTTTAAAACCATAATTCACTCTTTGCAATATTTGTTTTTTAACATATGTTATATCAACAATGTATTCAAAATCCTAGACATATTTGAAATTTTAACAATAAGGAATAATTAGTGAAACTAATTTGAGTTCATTTTCTTTAGTTGCAAAATGAAACTTAATTAATGAAAGTTATTAATTGTAAAACATAGAAAAGCATGTTCTCCCCATTTTTTTTTACTTTTTTATTCATATTTAATATTATCAAATGTATACATATAGGATGTCAAAAAGCACTATTTTCCTTTAACAATTATATATATCATGTATGGGTGCACTTAAACAAAAAGAGTGAAATTGTAGAATGGGTGTATAGCAAAAGTGCCAAAAAGGCGTTTGTTTTTGCTTCAAACCCAAATGTTTAACATCTCAAAAGAGCCTCAGTCCTTAATGGGTTAACTGTACTATGTGTGCACAAATTATTATTAGAAACACTGCGACAATATGTTTTGCATTTTTTTATTTGTAGTTATGTAAATGTAATGTTTTACATAAACCTAAAATACCAAGATTTTTTTATTGCAACGCAAAAGCTCAGTCGCGTGGTAACATTATTATACACAAAAATGCATCCGTATAATTTATGTATGTTTGCTATGTAAAATCAGTGCACCCCTGTGAGAAAGCCCACTGGGAGTTCTGGGTTTTCTCTGAGCATTCATCTGTTTAGTTTATTCGGCTAATTTATGCCACATTGGTTCGGTAGATTGAAACTATCGAACACAGACCACCCTCCTGGCTCATTAACTTCAAAGGAGCCCATCAATTAAGCGCTCTCTCAGGGTGGCCGCCATTCGTATATACGAATGCCACATGGCAGAGAAAACGGCATCCATCTTGTTTGTTCAGGACAAAGGCAGCGGGACTTGGTCGTCGAGTGTCTGGAACAAAAATCAGACATTTGACTTCCCGAACACCGGTCTCAAACATACGAACGATGGAACTGTATTTCCCGAACAGCCTGGAGAGCACTTTTCAGTACTTTGATGTATTCGTGTGAGGGGAACAATCGCTCCTATGAGCCAGGAGGCTCCGTTCGTGGATTATGTAGTTATTTAACATTTTCAGAATTGACCGACCGCACACGCTGAATTCGTGGAACTATTTTGGGCAAGAGCTTTCTGTGTGGTCGGAAACTTAAGACTTCCACACTTTTTAAAAACCTCTGAACCGATCTGGGTGAAATTTGAATATGTTGTTCCCCCAGATCAGGGCTATCAGGAGATGTGACATTTGTGGGGATACCTTAAGCATAAAGGGGTGTTCTGAGTTGTGGGGAAAATGTGTGCACTTCGCCTGGAGATAATTGGGTTATTCCTTAACTTATCTCATTATCTCACAGGCGGAGGCACGGAGTGTTTAAGTGTAACTGTACCTTATGATTGGCTATTTAGTTTGTGTACTGTGGGAGGTCCTCCTGCAAAGGGACCTCCATAAAAGCCTGTGTGGTCTCAATAAACATTAGTCTTGTTACACCCTTCATCATGTTTCGGCTGGTGTTTGGGTACCTGATTACTACTTGGGGAAAGCTGTACTAGAGGATTTAGTTTCTTTGGACTTTAACTACCGACCAGAAGAACCGAACGGTGAGCTATAATCATCCAGGCTCTCAGCCGTTCGGCCAAATCATACGAACCCATTGCTACCACTTCAGGGTTCGTTACAACCCCATATTTCATAATTTATAAATTGAGCTTATATACTAGTATAATAGTGAAATGCAATGATGATTCCAAACCCAGCTTAGTCAATGCAGGTCATATCTTGAATAGTTGTTCATTGCTATAGGAGACATCTGCTATATCTTTGTCAGTCACGATGGCGTAGTACACTGCTTTAGAGAATTATTCAGATTTTTTTTATGCACTTATTATTTACTTTACTTTATTAGATATTATACACTGTAGCTTTTAACATTATTTTATTTTCAAAACAAATAATTGTTTTAAATATAAAAAAAAAATACTCTCTCTCTCTTTTTTTTTTTAGGGGAATAGACACAGGATAGGGAGCTCCACACAGAGATGCTTTCAAAAACGGCCCAGAATACCTGCTCCTTGAGAACCCCTATTTTATCACCTCCTCGGTACTGAACACAGGATTGAGGACAGGGCAGAACAGTCACTTGTCAGCTACTGATGCACAAAAGGTAGACCCTGATATTACATAATATCTGCCATGGTTCTCACCGTGACATCCAGACGTGGTCGCCCCAGAAGTACCCAACAGGGGACATGAACTTGGATCCTTCTGTGTGTTGGGCCTGCTGATTTACCTTTGAGCCACACATTTCAGTTTTTGTTGCAGCCTGGTGTTTTTCCTTGCCTTTTCTCCAGCACTGGGGATTGGACTTTTCCTGTGGCTGCAGCTATCTAGCTCAGTCCACCTGAAGCTTATCGCTATTAGCCAGGTATAAAACACTGCCTCTCTCTGAGGGCAGTGTCAGTTCATTGACTCTGGTTCCAGTTTTTGTGTATCCAATGTTCTCCAGATGGCTTCTGACCTTTGCTTATCTCATCGTTTACTCTGACCTCTGGCTTCTCCTGACTTTCCTGTACAGCCCCCGTGCACAGACTCACAGCCCAGGTGGCTTCTTACCTGGTCACCTTGGTCTGTGTTTATTTGCAAGGGTGAGCATATAACTCTGCACTTCGGACACCACATCCGGTAAGATCCTGACAATATCAAACCGCAGACAGAGCACGACATGGCGCTTGTCCCCCCACAAGGTCTACTTGTTCTACAGTCTTACTGGGCCCGTCTTCTCAGCAATGGCTCTATGGATGATCCACTCCAGATCCTCAATACATCCTCGTGAAGAGCTTGTACATACTTTAGTTTCATTGCTTTTTACTTCATATCTTGATATTGATTGCCTCATCTCATCTACACATCAAGTTTATTTATTGCATCAAACCCAAATCAGTTCCTGATTTTCTTCAACAAGAATAAGGGGTATTCTAATTTCAGAAAGCTAAAAATACATTTGGCATAGATCAATCAAATGATTTACACCCAACTGTCAGCTCAGTTCTGTACTTGCATTCTGGCTAGCCAAGTTAAACCAGAAACTGTAAATAGTTTATTTTTCATTATTTTCTGCATACTTCATATCTCATCATAATTGCTTCAAACGTTATTTCAGTGAATGCTCAACTAGCACAAGCCAATTATAACAAAAAAAGGCCATGTTTGTTCTCCATCACAACCGCTGGTGACACCATGACCTAAGTCCTACTGATTTTAACATCAGTTGTTCAAGTTCATGCAGGGACTGTATATTCTCTACTTTACTATATTCTAGAAAACATGGAGAAGTTCATCCAACCTGGGAAAACAAAAAACAAAACCCATACCGAGCACTCCAAATCTCAATTGAAACCATCAGAAACAAAGACGGAGAGTACTCCCTCGACACCATCAAGCCAAGCTACGTCTGAAACACTGTTACATAGTTACAAAGCTGAAAAGAGACTTGCGTCCATCAAATTCAGCCATCCTCACATTTGTTTTTTGCTGTTGATCCAAAAGAAGGCAAAAAACCCAAGCTAAATTTTGCAACAAGCTAGGAAAAAAATTCCTACTTGACCCCAGAATGGCAGTCAGCTTTATCCTTGGATCAAGCAGTTATTACCCCTACATTGAAATATTATATCCTTGCATATTCTGTTTTTGCAAGTATGTATCTAGTAACTGTTTGAACATCTGTATGGACTCTGATAAAACCACTTCTTCAGGCAGAGAATTCCACATCCTTATTGTTCTTACTGTAAAAAAAAACTTTCCTTTGTCTTAGACGAAATCT